TTTAAGAGGGGTGGACTTCAACTCCCAGAATCCCCCAGCCATCATGCTTTTAGAGGAGCGGACTTCAACTCCCAGAATCCCCCAGCCATCATGCTTTTAGAGGAGCGGACTTCAACTCCCAGAAACCCCCAGCCAGCCTGCTTTAGGAGGGGCGGACCCCCAGAATCCCCCAACCGATTGGTTTCTCCTATCTCGTGTCTCCTCTCCTCCCCAACCTTCGTTTGTGCACTAACCACTAGGTCCTGACAATTGCGTGGTCGAGGTGGAAAACGGCGGGATGCTGTGTAGCCGGAAGGGAGTCAACCTGCCGGGGGCTAAGGTGGACTTGCCGGCCTTGTCCCAGCGGGACAGGCAGGACCTGGAATTCGGGGTGCAACAGGGGGTGGATATGATCTTCGCCTCCTTTATCCGCAAGGCTGAGGATGTGATCGGCATCCGACGGGCGCTGGGGGAACGCGGCAGCCACATCAAAATCATCAGCAAGGTCGAAAGCCACGAGGGGGTCCAGAGGTAATCCTCAAAAGCCACTTTTTTTTCTGGATTTAACTGGCTGTCCCTGACTTAGGACGGTTCGTTTAGTGACCGAAGTCACAACGGTGCTGGGGAAAAAAAAGCGACTTATGATTGTGTTTCACACTTACGACCATTGCGACGTCCCCACGGTTGCCCGATTGAAATTCCGACGCTCGGCCACGGACTCCTATTTATGACGGTCGCGGTGCGATCCCCTTTTACGACTGTCGGACCGGCAACGTCAAGTGGGGAGTGACATGTTCAACTTAATATCCGTGGTTCCTAATCGAACGACTGCAGTGATTCACTTAGTGTGATGACCCAAAGGGGCGTGGCACAAAGGCAACACAGCCCGATAATTAGTGGGAGTCCCTTTATTAGCACCAATTTTCCCCCCAATGTCCTGGTTACCTTCTGGGCTGGAGAAAATCTCTCCCAGGAACAGCCTTTGGCTGCAGAGAATCCAAGTCCAAAACATGGTCAACAAAAACTGTAACTTAAAGTCCAAAAAAGGCAAAATGAGGTAATGAGTCCAGCAGGGCAGGAGAAGGAATTCCAGATGTGAAGGAACGACAATAACATTGTTGGGAAGACGCCAGGAACACAGATAACCAAAGTCAACACAAGATAAACTCAAGTTGGTTCCCAGAAGCTGCCGCGCTCAGCTTGCATCTCTTTTAAACTCTCATTCCCAGCTGTGGCTAATGAACGGAATCAGGGCCCCTTCCTCCCCCCGTAAGCCATACAACCCACGTTGCTCCCTTCTCCGTTCCTCCCTGCGTGCCCTAGGATGAAGAGGGGGTGGTGGGCCTGGGTCTTCCTCTGAACACCCTCTCCCTTGTTCTACTTCTCCCCTGCTCTGCCCAGCCAGACTTTGCCCTTCCCCAGTTTCCTCCACAGCCAATGGAGCCCCACTCCCACTCTTTGGGTCAGCTGTTCGTCTTCCTCCTCGGACAAGGGCGTGACACTTAGTGACAAATGTGGCCAGAAATTGGGGCAAAATTCATATCACCAAATGCCTCGCTGAGGAATGGAAAGTTGGGGACTGTATTTTGATCTGGTTGGCGTGACGAGGTCATCTAGACGGGAAGCACGCTCAGCCGATGGTTTATTGCTAGAAGAGCTAGATTTCTCCTTGCAAGGCTGATCACACAATCAGATCAAAAATTTACAGTCCTTGACTTGTGACCCACAATTGGAAATCGGAATTTCTGTCATCTCTGATTATATGACCCCCCCCTTTTTTCTTTTTGGGCTCGGCCATTAAGCAGATCACACACGGTTACTAAGCGAGCCATGTCATTAAGTGACTCCGGCTCGCCCATTAATTTTGCTTGTCAACCAATGGGGAACCACGTGAACTCCGGACACGGAAAACCGTCATAAACACAGGTTGCCAACCCGCCAAATTTGGACTACACAAGCGTGGGGAATGCTCCGATGGTCATAAGTGCAAGGACCACATCACAGGTGGATACCTGTAGTTATCCAGCGAGCTGAGCTGGGCTGTCACCTTTGATGCTTTGTCTCCAGGTTCGATGAGATCCTGGAAGCCAGTGACGGCATCATGGTGGCTCGTGGGGATCTGGGGATCGAAATCCCCGCCGAGAAGGTTTTCCTCGCTCAGAAGATGATGATCGGCCGTTGCAACCGTGCGGGCAAACCCGTGATCTGCGCCACGCAGGTGAGCTGTACCAAATGGACCACACCTGGCGGGTTAGGCGCCTTCCGTCAACAGGTGGCGCCTTTTCACCGAAGGGACACAAAAACAGGACCAATCCTGGGGCAGGTCGAAGTGATTGGAGATGAATGGAGAGAACTGCCTCCCATTGGCCCTGAAAACAAAGATGGAAGGTTGATTGAGCTGCGGGGACTTCAACTCCCAGAATCCCCCAGTCAGCTTGGTTTAAGTGGGTTGGACTTCAACTCCCAGAA